CGGAAGCCGAGACATTTCCTCGCGTCTTGCGAGGGCGGCCGCCGATGCAGCTCCGTTGTCATGGCAACGGCGCGCACACTCCGAGCCCGAGGGGAGTTCTCGGACCAGAGACGGAACCGAAAATAATAGCAAAAAAGCCGCGCGGGCAACACTTCATTACCGTTAATTGAGACATTAGTCGCAGCAGGAAGCTGCGGCTGTTTCTAGAAATCGTATTTTTCCACGTTTAAAAAAGAATTCGACTGAACGAGTGTCAGTTCCAGACGCGCCGTGATCGCATTTATCATTGAAATTACCTCTGTACGCTTTCACATGCGGGAATTATAAAAAGGGCGACCCGTGCGTGGGACGTGTATTCGCGCACACAACGTAAATATTTTTCCCCATTTACCAGGTGGCGAGCGCTTCGAAGCCAAAATTGGAAACGCAAATGCACTTCCGTTTCGTTTGGATTCCGCGGAAGGTTTGCTCGCTCTTCAGAAAGGCACTTCGCGATTGGAATTAACTCTCTTGCGATAAACGCCGGCCGATCGAGGGGTGTCACAGGGTCGTTGCTGGAAAAGAGAAATAAGACTGCTGAAGTATTCAAAGGGAAAGGATAAGTATCTAAATTGTTGTTTTATTTTAGATTAATTAGCATTGTCTCGATTTTTATTTTATATTATAATCCTATTTATGTGTTGATGCTTGTGTATTACATACAACTCTAATATGTATGCAATCCATCTCATATTTATAAAGGCGTAATGATTTATCTTCTGATAAAGAATTATCTTTCTATATAATCCTTGAATTATCATATTGGGGCTGGCGGTAGGATTTGTTAACCTGTCATTTTCCGTCCGCATAAACGCACAGGTTCTTCATGGATGACAGGTTTTTGAGGAATTCTCAAGAGAGGAAGAGAGGAGGGAGGGAGAGGGAGTGAGAGAGTTCGAGTTCGTACGTGTATATTCGTAGATTTTTGTGTGGTGTGTGGGTGAATGGGAGTAATTGGTAAAATAGGAGATACATTTAGATATGATTCAATTGTCATTAAACTCTGTTTAAAGAGATCAGACTTTTTAAAATGCATTTTATCTCTATAAATTTATTCTCGTAAAATCAACACTATTAAAAGTGATGGAATTATTAATCAAAATGAGCAGAACCATTCAAATAATTAATCTATGAATATTATTTAATTCTGAATACTTCAACTACAAAGATCTTTTAAAACGTGATTCACTTTTTAAAAAAATACATGTTAATTTTCGACTTTTTTTATTAAAAATTCAACAGTTCGCTTTAATCTAAATTTAAAAAAAAAAACAGAAAAATCAATCATTTTAGATATAAAGTATTTGAAATTACTAAAATTGATTACCTCAGTTATAAAAACGGTTAGTAATGTTTATAAATTACATGAAACTGATTAAACGCTTAATATCTTCAACAACTTTATTCACAAAAACTGTATTCGGAGCAGAGGTGAGTAACTGACCTTTTCGTGGGGATGGACATTTAACCTCTTCCTGCTAGGGTATATTTGAACGCCCTTTGATGATAACGATTTTTAATTTAATATGATAGACAAAAGGCCTTACAGAATGGAAAAACATAAATATATTAATAGAGTAAAAGCGTGTCAAATAATGTTTAGTGTTTTATACGGCAAAGTATTGTGTATTAAATATTGAGTTTAATTACATTGGTGTTGATTTAAAACGATAATTATTCAGCTGGCAGCAATGCTCCAACAGGTGAGCATACTGCATACACAATTGATTTCATAATCACACACGAAGGCTGGTTATTCACAAACATCCATCTGTCTAAATGGATAGCTTTCATTGAATCAAGAGGGAATTATATCTTAAGTTTTAGAATTGTAAATCCTGTACATGTGCTTAAAAGGAAGGTAATCCACGAAAATACGAAATAAAATTAAGCAATTAGGCACAATTTCAAAATGACAATCAGCAACTTTTTGCTTCTGCGGGAAACCAAAAAACATTTTTTGTCCAGCGGCAAAGTTGTATGATGCCGATTTGTGCAATTTCACAAAGCAAACTTTTGAAATAGGTACAGTTAAACAGTATTAATGAAGACAAGTTCTCATAACCTCATGCATTCTTTCCCCTTTGGTCATGTGTGTGAGCAAGCACAAAGCAGAAAATGATATTTATTTGCCCGCTCGACGAAGACGTAGGCAAAGACTTACCTCTCAGCGTCGGCAGAATGAACATGTAGATGTGAACAGATATATTTCTGAACCGCCTACTTTCTTCTTATGCGAGCAATACGAGTGGCGTACATTGCTTCAAGTGGCATTGAACCAGCGGAAACCCTTGCACCGCTATAAATCGCATCTCTGTCAATGTGGGCCGTGTTTCTGTTGATCTATGCGCAAAGTGGCTTCCTCGGCGAGCCGTGTACTGCAAAGGCGCATATCTTCGCCTTATTCGTCGTCGTGACTAAAGCAAATGACGCAACTAAACCCAACTTGCGAGAGAGGAAAAGCTACTTGGACATACTGCTCCTACATGTTTTGTTGACACGCATATTTGTGTTTGTCTTCTCTTGGTGAACAATGATACATTCTGAAAGACATACCGTTGGTGATTTTCATGTCCTTTAATTTACACAAAACAAAGTTTCTTTTGTAAATTAAGAAACACATACGTGTACTAATATTAGACATGTGCTTTATTAAAATATCATTATGCTCTCATATTTATAGACTGCCAAATGCTCATTTAAGAAAGTCGCGCTTTCGGAAAACACGCGCAATTACTTACTCAGATTGTTGGGAACTAATAGACTTATTCCTAGATAGAATTTTTCATCATATTTTTCACGTAACTTATAAAATCCCATATTCCAGTTCACTTTGCACTCATTGCTATTTGTTCCCTGCAGTAGTTCAATGTGATCTCCCTGACAGAATGATAAACAAAGGAAGCTTCGAAATGGTGAAAGGTAAGAATGGCAGCAGAGGATAGAGTAACAGGTAGAGGAAATTGGGAGGTATCCGAAATTTCATCCAATTTTTACGACAAATTACCAATAGAGCGATTGCGTTTGGGCCCAATTCAAGACAAGGTAGACAATCCCCACAAATTCAAATCGAAATATTCTTCTCGGTGTGAAAACACTACGGAGGAATTGTCCCTCGTTTTATTCTCAAAGAGGAAAGAATTCGCGAGGGGAAACAAATGCAGAGGCAGCCAAAGGAATAATAAGCAAAGTAATATATAGCCGCATTATTACAAAGCATGTTTGTATTAGAAAGAATTCTTCCAGGGACTTCCCCTCTCCGCAGGAACTCGATGCGCGATTTATTTGCGCGACGGGGGACACACTGGGCGAAGAAGAGGGGTGGGGACTGGATGCAGCTCGTCAAGAGGGGAACGGGGCAGAAAAGGCACCGAGGGTCGCACCCCGCCAAGACGTACGCAAGCAGGAAGGGCGGGCGCGGAGCGTCTGAAGGGCCGAGGCACGCGCAAAGGGAAAGGTCTTCTGTGCAAGTCCCTCCCCAAGGAGTTGGCGGGATGGAAGGGCGGGAGATTAAAACAGACGGACGAGCCGGGGGAAGACCCCTTATCATTTATAATTACACCCAGCGGAGGCGGAGGGAGGGAGGGAGGAAAGGGGTTAGTTGCAGCGTGAGGACAAGCGTCTCGTCTGGAGGAGGACCGGGAGGCTGAAGGTCTGTCCTGGAGTGCAAGGATTTCGACTAGGAGACGGACTGTTCGTGTGTTGGGGGTGGACTGTAATCCTTAGTAATCCGGTGTCGGAATCACTTGAAGGGTCCGTAATTCAGATAATAAGAAATAATATGTATTGACGATGTGTTAGTGAAAGAAAAGATAATTAAAGGAGTATCTTCGTTAGATACGGAAAAGTAATTTTCTCTCTCAGGAAATTAAATATTAGTTGTAAATGTTTGGTTTGGTTGGTTCTGTTTCATAACGTTTGTAGCTGGTATTAGCAAATTTCAGATTTTTTGGCATTAACGCAGGTCAGCAAACATTACAAGCCGTAAACTCCTCTCTGGTCTCCCGACAAGTGTTGTAGGTAGTGCGTGTGAGTGAAAGTGAGTGTAAGTAAGTGCTGAAGAGGAGACAAGAAAAACGAAGAAATGATTGCGCGTGGTCCGCAGCCCATTTGTCGGAGTACTGTTCCAGCATTCGCCTGGTGTTGATAGGGGAAACGACGGAAAGCTACCTATCAGAGCAGTCGGCCGTTATACTTCTCCTCCCGACAGTGCGGTGGCTAAATGCGAGCTAGTTGACAAACTAGAGAAAAAAATCCGGCCATTATTTGGGATACAAACTCCAGGAAATCCTGGTCACAGGCACAGCAGTGACGTCACTTAATACCCTGAGCCACCTTTCTCAGAAATTTTAGAAAAAAAAAATGTTTTGTAGCACGAGTTAAGTAAATTATTTAAATCAGTTGATTCAAATAATCGACATCCTACTCAAAACACCAATACCTTTTTCTGTATTTCAAAGAGTCAAGGATTCTAAACACCTTACAAATGGCGTCAATAATACGCAAATTATAAAAAAATCGGCATTGCAATATTTTTTAATTTTACCCGAAAATATAATTTTCTTTTTCCTCAACTGTACGTTGTACAGAGTAAAATTATTGCCTTCTGTACAGCAATTTGATGCAGGGATTCGGTAGTACAATCCATTTTTGAGGATCCCTGATACGACAAAAGTGGTTTGTACCATAATGTCTGTAAGGATATGTGAATAACACAAATTAAGCCCAGATTATAAAGAGTGTACAGTCATGTGACCGTTTTTTGACAGCTATTGTTGCCAATCCACAGGGATGATGCCAGAGGGCGTGGACGGTGATTAACCCCCAAAGAAATCACAACACACATACTGCGAATTATTTTTTCATTTATATTGTAACGTATTAGCCAGCGTGCCTCGTGGCATCTATTTGGGGACGCTTGGGAGAGGATTAGCC